TAACCACGACTATCGATGCGTTTTGTGTATTCTGAGTTGAACGTTTCGCATGACGTGCGCATTTCCACGTAAGGGTATTTCTGTTCCACGAAATGCAGAAGAACTTGAGTGTATTGTTCATCCGATTAATACAGATGAGATTTGTTGTTTTCTGTTGCATATACAATTGACTGCGAGGACATTAACCATGGCTTGCCTGCACATTCAAACCTCAACGTACATCTGACACAACAATATGAAAATGTTTAATAAAATTGATAGTATGAATGTTGTACTTGTAAATGGATAGCTAGGAAAAATAAACAAAATCAAACACTGGCACTTTTAACTGCAACATACAAAGAAAACCACAATTTAATTGGGAGCAGCACCAACATTGGACTAGTTGTTGACAAGACAATACAAGACCGGAGCACGTAACAGAAAGTTTTATCATCTTCCATCAATCACAATAAATGTATTTAATGTTTCAATAATTGTATCAATTTGATACACTTACTATGAAAAATTACTTCAATAATTATTTCAAATTTATGGTTGGTGTTATTGAAACATCAACACATACATAGCTAATGTTGTACATTTACAATAAACCTTAATACACATATCGTTGGCCTTGGTTATATTTGGTCGCAAATTCTGTCTCAAGTGAAATAATAAATAAAATTATCAATAAAAAGGACGTCATAAACATAAAATAATGACGGATTTCCTACAACCTTCGCATTTCAACCAATGGTTTGACTACTGATTGGGTTTATACTTCAACTAAACTTCATGAAAAAGTAGTTATAAATTGACCGACCTTTTCTCAATGGCCTTTTTTTCTTCTTGGACATATCCGGAAGAGGGCCTATTATACTGCCTTTCCTTTCATCAGCTGTAGGTGCAGCCAACATATTCTCTAGCTCATTGTTATTCATCGTCGCTGAAGCGTCTACCGAGGCGCCCTCTAGATTTTTCTGATTGGTATTGTTCATCTCTGACACTGGAGTAGCTTCTTTCGTTGATTTGCTATCAGACATTCGAGTGCCAACTTTCATGTCTGAATTTGGCTTGACTTTTGATTGATCACTATTCAATTTCTTCTTTTCATTTGATTTTGTATCATCTGCTTTCTTAACGACAGACGAGCTTGACATTAAAAAATATGAGAAGATACATATCCATTACAATTTCACAAAAAACGGTTTCTTAGTAACAATTGTCACTGATATACTAGTAAAATTATTTAAACTCAACTTACTCGTTCAGTTTCTTATTAATATCATTCTTGTCAGTATTCCTGCCGTCTGCATTGTCGCCTACACCTTCCTTTAATTTTGACTGATCACTAGTAAGCTTCTTAATATTATTATTATTATTTAGCTTCTTCTTTTCATTAATTTTCTTAATATCTACTTTTTGGTCGCCGGACAAGCTTGGAATAAATGTATGTGAGAATTCATATGCAAGACAAAAATATTTTACAAAGGGTGGAACAAACTTGAGTTTCATAAAAACGATTAATTTGTTGTATAAGCTATTACATTATAATCATTCCTGACAGCGTTCCTGTCATTTAAATTGCTCCCTAAGCTGCTCTTCAATTGTGACTGGTCGCTGGTGAATTTCGTCTTTCCGTTTAATTTCAAATCATCTGCTTTTTTAACGGATATACTTAATGTAAATAGATATGAGAAGTTATGTATGTTTTACAAAATCATGATGACTGAAATGTTGATTTTCTTAGAAACGATTTGTATCGTATCTACTGATAACATTATAAACTCAACTCACTCGTTCGGGCTCTTGTCAGCATCTTTACCATCTACATTGTCTCCTGTGCCTTCCTGTGACTGATCATTAGTACGTTTCTTCTTTTCATTCAATTTCTTATCATCTGCTATTTGGTCAGCAGACGAGCTTGAAGAAAATATAAAAGTTTTGTATAAACCATTTGTATTGTATGCGCTGATAAAACTACATAAACTCACTCGTTTTGGTCTTTTTTAATATCATTCTTGTCAGCATTCTTGTCATCTAAATTGCTCCCTAAGTTACTCTTTGATTTTGACTGGTCACTAGATAGATTCTTATTATTATTATTATTATTATTA